GGTCCTACAATGGATTCCTGGTAACTGTGGAGTTAAAGGCAATGAGCTTGCTGGCTCACTTGCTAAGAAGGGGACAACGATTTTGCAATGCATGGACCGGCCGATGTCTCTAGTGGCACTCTCCGAATAGAGGAGAAATAGTGGACAGTGGCACTCTCCGACATACCCGGCTGGCGAGAATCGAAGCCGTTGCTGAGTTTAGACTACGTATCGGACAGTCCACACAATGAAGGCCTTAATCAGGAGAGAATTCATGTCAAGGACACAATGGAGGCCTTAATCAGGAGAGAATTCCAGACCTCCGTGCAACGAAATTAAAGCTCGAAACCGGCCGATGTCTTTCCACACAATGAAGGCCTTGATCAGAAGAGAATTTCAGACCTCAAGATGCAACGAACTCAAAGCTCGAACAAAGGAGAAATAGTGGACTACCAACGAACTCAAAGCTCGAACAAAGGAGAAACAGTGGACAGTGGAAACAAAGGGGAAACAGTGGACAGTGGCACTCTCCGATTAGAGGAGAAATAGTGGACAGTGGCACTCTCCGACATACCCGGCTGGCGAGAATCGAAGCCGTTGCTGAGTTTAGACTACGTATCGGACAGTCCACACAATGAAGGCCTTAATCAGGAGAGAATTCATGTAATGAAGGCCTTAATCAGGAGAGAATTCCAGACCAAGTGGCACTCTCCGAATAGAGGAGAAATAGTGGACAGTGGCACTCTCCGACATACCCGGCTGGCGAGAATCGAAGCCGTTGCTGAGTTTAGACTACGTATCGGACAGTCCACACAATGAAGGCCTTAATCAGGAGAGAATTCATGTCAAGGCTTAATCAGAAAAGAATTCCCGACCTCAATGTGCAACGAAATTAAAGCTCGAAAAGAGAACCGGCCGATGTCTTTCCACACAATGAAGGCCTTGATCAGAAGAGAATTTCCTAATGAAGGCCTTAATCAGGAGAGAATTCCAGACCATACCAACGAACTCAAAGCTCGAACAAAGGAGAAACAGTGGACAGTGGAAACTTAAAGCTCGAACAAAGGAGAAACAGTGGACAGTGGCACGTTCCGACATAGCTGTCTGGCCATGAATCGAAGCCGTTGCTGAGTTTGTACTACGTACCGGACACGATTGCCTGGCAAAACACCTTCACAGATTGAGAGTATACTCACAACCAACGTGCCCCCTATGTGACCTATAAGAGGAAATGGAGAAGACCCACCTGATTCGGTGTCCAGCCCTAAAGACAACGACGAAAAGCCAGAGATACTGGGAAGAAAGAAGACTGCTAATGAACTGCTATTAATTAACTGCTATAAATGTACCCCCCACCCTTGGGGGAAGCTGAAGTCATCGTTTAAGGGCTAATGATAAATATCATAAGGTCTGCCATTTGAAAAAATAAGATTCGGATGCTATAATTAATTCATATAATTTAAAATTAGATATGCAATATTGCAATTCGGTATCGAGAATTCTAAAACTTTATTATCTTTTTGTGACAAAATACTATCGACTTACAGATTGATTATTTAATTCCTGCACATACTTCGCTGTCTAGATGAAATTGATATATAATTAAGGAAACTCTGAGAAAAGTAGTTTTTTTTCTCAAAATTAAGTTTCACAAAAACAAAGGCGTAATTACACATGATGAAGTAATTATGTGCTTTCTTTGAATATTTTTAGCAATTTTCAACATTTTGAAAATAACTCATTTATTACCAGAAGTAAATAAGAATATATTAAATTATTTAACTGCTGTGCTAAGGAAACAGGAAAAAAAAGATAAAGAACAGAAGTGAGGTGGAAGAACTTGGCAAGACAAGGGAAAATAATGTTACCCAGGCTCCATCTTTAAATACACAAAAAAGATGAGTTACATCTGTAGGATATTACAAAAATACATCAAGGTAGTTCATGTTCGTGTGAGTTGGGTGTCATGTTGTAGTGCTTGTATTAATTGCTGTTTAGTCACAAATATCACAGGCCTTCTGCTTTCAAACAAACAAACACAGAGAGAGGGGGAGAGAGTGAAAGAAAAAATACAAGATAGTTTATGAGAATTCGTAAAAGAGAATAAAGAGAAAAAGAACAAGTCAAGCTGAAAAAAATTGAGTACAAGACAAAGGAAACCGCAAACTAGTAACCACAACCATTTTTCGACTTCGTTTGGAGGAGAGGGCGCTAATAAACTTAAATTCTGTCCATTCATTGTGCCTGTCTTCAAAAACTATAGAGTTCCCCCTTGTGCCTGTAAAAAAAGTATTGCAATCTAAGAAAACTACAGAATTATGCAATCTAAGTAAAGCACTGAACTTACTTATTGAAAGTAAGCCAGCGTATCATTGCCTTAGGTACGGATGCATTCGAGCGGCAGAAAATGGATTGGTTCGTAATTTGAGCGATCCTAATGAAAAAGAAAACAGTATATCAATTTCAAAAATGTTGCTGCGATGGAACTCAATTTTAAATTAAAACCGTTCGATAAACGTGTGTACTTAGATTTTAAAAGTAGTAATAATTTCATATGTTTGGAAAGACTGTGCTTGTTATATAATGTGCAAGGTAGCCACAATTGAGCAAGAATTAAATAACTCTATGAAGGTATACATAGCTTATACTAAGCGGGTTGGGGTGTGCGATAGATTGTGAATCCTTACATCTGTGAATCATTATTCTGTCCCCTCTCGACTTTTTGCCACCTTGATGTTCTTCCTCTCCTCTCGACTTTTTCTCACTTTGATGTTCCTCCTCCTCTCACTGTTCCCCATCCCTCGACTTTCTGTTACTTGGATGTTCCGTCTACCCGAAGTCAGCTAATGGGCTAATGATAACTATCAAAACGCCTGTCATTTGAAATAAATAAATATTAAGCTAGCTGCAAATGATAAGAAATTCATTTTTAAATGACAATATATCTAGTTATTTATACTTGGCAAGCTCAGGCCTTTGGTTGTCACTTATGTGATAACTTTTGAAAAAAAACAACAAAGTCGATGTGAAATTATACTCCAAAGTGAAGGAAGATACAGTAACTCGATTGAATTAAATGATTGCTGAGAGAAAATACAGAACCTCCGAAGATTTCTTGGGAACCATTTTATCCTTAAGAAATTTGGAACTTTGCTGTATATGGCAAGTAATTTTCTGGATAATAGCCAGCCAATCGAATACCTTAAGTTATACAACTGCTTTTCTTTAAATGTACGATTTTAACGATAGGAGCAGTAATCACTACATTGAACAACTCAGAAGAACAATCGATTTCTCTATAGTTCTTCAGGAGAGGAACTCAACGAATCTAATGGATTCAATCAGATATGTGGTATTGCGGCCAACCTCATCTATTATAGCACTTATTGCACCTGCTAAGCATTGAAGCCATTGATGATACATTAGTAATTCGTATAATTTTAATATGGAAAGTCTGGGGCACAAGGCTTTACATAGTTAACCATTAAAAAGTTTACCTATACACCAATTAGAGTGCATTACCAAGAATATGATTTAAAGAAAATCTCTACCTTATTGCAATTTTGTAAGAGAATTTTATGAAAAATACATACATATTGAAATAAACACTAAAGACGGTTGATTCTGAATGTTTGTTATTGAATTAAAGAATCATTTATCTTTCTGAAATTCGATTTATGTGACATATTTTTATGTTCTTAATGGTAAAGACCTTTTGAACCAATGGAAAGCGCAAATCAACAGTGCTTCCATCAGTATAAAGGACTGCTCAAACCGTTGAAATGAAATGCTCATTTAATTAATTTTAAGAAGTCCAGTTGATATAACTCTGTTGTAGCGGATTGCTACGCTAGTAAAGCCTGGCTTAAGTCTCAGAAACCTTTGTGATAGATTCTCCTAATTACTGAGTGTCCAGAAGAAAGAGACGTATCGCTGAAATGTTTATTCACCAGATAAGGATAGCGAATTGTAATTTTTTGGCAAAGGCGATTAGTTGTTAGATAAATCTAGCATAATTCGCGTGAACATTAATAGCTAATTATCTCTGAGTAGTATTCTGTAGCAGGATTTCTATTTGGTCATTGATGGAGTGTCCAACACTGTCAATCGGGAGGGGAACTCCTAATGCTTCATTAAAAAGACAAAAAATTATGGTTTAGTGAGTTGATTGATTAAAATGCAAAATAAGCTAGCAAATCTTCAATACCAATTAAGAATTATCTCATTTAAAAATAAGCACCAGATTTTAAAACCCCTAAACAGCAGTTGGGTTGAAAAGTAAGATGAGAACTGCATTGGTTTTAAATCTGGGACATTTGTTGAATCTGCGTGGCTACCAAGGGCAGAAAAATAGGCGGTCATTCTTCTATAAAACCAACATTAGAGAGAAATTTGAAGCGCTAAATTAAAGGAAGCAAATCTGCGTTTTAATGTGCGAATAATTTATTTATTTTGTAATAAGGTTACACTTAGAAAATGGTTGCAAAAATTTCCATTACGTCATAGGAACAGGTTCAGTATACCTCATTAAATTCCAAAAGCAAGCTTAGTTGTCAACCAAATAGCAAAAAAAGTTCTAGAGAATTTTTTCGTGTTGCAATCGAATAATTTCGTATTTATAAGAGAAAAACACAGTTCTTACTTCAAATATTTGATATCTGATTTTGAATATCAATTACAGAACTATGTGATTTGGGATGAGATCACAAATCGAATACATCAACTCAGATTGGAGAGGTTTTGCAATATTTCATGATAATGACGCAATTAAAATAAATGACGATTCCATTAACTTAAAATAAAGAAAATAATATTTTTTGCAATTTCCATTGAGATAGTGAGTTAAAAAATGTATATAATTTGAAACATTTAATCAGGCACCTTCAATTGAAATAAGTTTGTATCGTAACTGCGAACAATCAAAAAAATAGCTAATAACTATCTCAATTTTTAAATAGTTTGGCAAACCACGCGCAGTGTTGTCTTTTAGGCATTAAATCACTGGAAAATTTATTGACAGTTTAATGAGAAGTGTTACACTGTGGTACCACTTGAACCATACCTGAGCTACCGTCTACATCGGTTGAATTTGAATAATCCCCTATTATGTTTGCTCCAGCCGTGGAGTTCGTAGAGAAGGTTCCATGGAAACCGGCTGCAGCCATAGCCGCGGAGGCATCAGTTCCATTCGGTGATACTGTTCCGTTGGCTACTCCAAACAAAGCTGCAAGTTGTTCTTGAAAGAAAAAAAGGTGACTTTATTTCGGTTTTTAAGGATGAGTCTGTGGGATTTGAAATTGAAATATTTGACCGAACTGCCCATTAGAGCCTTTGGGTATGCGCTTCAAAAACCACTAGCTTAATTTGTTGCTCTTCAGACTCTTTAGCTTTGAAAAATTGCAAGAGTTAGGCTTCTTTTCTCAAACTCTAAAGGTAATTTCACTAAACAGAGAACACTAATCACGGTAATCTGATAGCAATATCAGATATTGATCGTTACCATTCTGATAAATATGAATTTTCAAGCAATATACTCGACTGATTATGCCTCGTTGAAGTTGAGTGACAGTAGAATACAATCTATTTATGCAACGAGGTTTCTGCAATCAGCAAGTTCATACTCTGGGCTCATATAAATAGGAATCTACTCTCGGAAGTACAGTTAACTTATTTCCGGGAAATGTATTGAGGCTAAAAATAGGATGGTAAACGTGATGAAGGAAAAAGCTGCACAGCGGACGAATTTTTTCTATCATGATAACTAAAAATCCGTTTTCCTAGTCGCTTATTTCAATGAAATAATGATAATAGTAATGAGCATAGAGTCTTATTCTTATTTTGATTGGATTTTCATTTTGGCAAAATGAAAACAGAAAGACTTCAATAAGTGGGATAAGTTTGCACCTTCAAGTTATTAAAATAAAGGCAATTTTAACTTTACTTCAAAGCATGTAAAATATCACCTGTCACCATAAGAGCAAATTAAATCCAATTATCAAAACTCAGTGTCATTAAATGACAGCACTTTGATTGCGTTCCAGATAATTTCGCCACGGTTAATTTTTAATTGATGTCAGTTAACTCCCTATAATAAAACAAAAGGAATGGGAAATTAAACACAAATAGCTGGAAAATGTGAGCACGTTTAGAGCATAGCGTTTTAGTTGATTAAAGGCAGACTTTTATATTTATTTAAAATACCCATAAATTACTAATTTTTCCACTCATTTTTCGCTTCTCACCTCTAAACCCACAGGGAGGCATCAATTAATCACGGAATGAGTTGCTCTGCAAAATTTTATTGCCAGCGTGAGCATCAGCAGGGAGAGTGTTGGAATCGCAGTCGAGACATAGTTCTAATTCACGCTACGCCTACCCCCTTATACGCACACACACACGCGGAAGCTCTAAATTTGTGTCCTATAACTTGCTGGATGCATTATTTATTTATGTATACTGGTATGAGTGGAAAAATGCAAAAAACAACGGAAGTTGCTGCTAATTGTACGCCATGTGCACAACTTCAAAAATTAGTAAATTAAACTTTGCTCAGAAGTTTCTTCGGTTTTGACAGACAAACTTCACCGGTCTTTACCGTAATAAGTTAGCCACTGTGCCGTCTGTATGACTAGTAGCCTGGAAGGTCTATATTGAATGAAAGTTTACAGGTAGAGGATTGAACAGGCGATTACCTACAACAACAGAGACCGAATTTTGATGCCAGATTGATCAAATGCACTTTTCGGCAGATTTTTTTGCAAACTCCTTTACAAGTGCAATCACATAGCCTATTTTGCCGCACTCTTCTAGCCACAGCAGTTTCTAAGTCCTCATTGGGATTCTGTAGTTCATAGAAAATTATTTTCACAGTGTCGTTGAAGCACCGACCGTATTCTCATTTATTTGATGATCATCATGAAGTAAGTCATTCCCATCCATATTTCTAGTGAATTTCAGTTAACCCACCTCGTTGTCATTACGTAATCAAATGTTACAGAATTTGAACGTTTAAAATCGACAAGATCCAAGTGCGTTAAAAAAACAAGATCACTGTAATATTTACCTAGACATATTTGAAGAAAGCAACTTCTTTTGGTGGGAAAATTTGCAAAAAAGGAGCACAGCGAAAGTGTTTATGTAATGCATGAAGACCTATTTAAAAAATACTCTTAACCAGTCCTTAGAAATAAACTCCCCTAAGTTATGTAATGATGAAATCTGAAAGAACTTTTTCGATTTAAAAGAAAATATTCACAGATTTTCAAAAATAAATCAGCCAATTCAGTACCACGTTACTTCTGTAAATGATTTACTCTGAAGCACGCCTAACTATGATAAACTTTAGTTCAAAAAATAGAGTTTAATTTCTCCACGTATCTGAAAATAATTCCTGATTATGAAAATTATGAAAATTTGCAGCTGATCCCAAATATATGAAAGAAACATAGGTTTCATTTAGATGCATTTCAAAGGTATTTTCTATCGAACATTTGTGCCAGCGATAGGTATTTCATTAAGTAACAAAAGCAAGCTTATCATTTAAAAAAGTGACAAAATTTTTTTTTAAAAAAATGAACTTAGATTCCCTACCCAGTCATAGGGAGCAAAGACTCTTTTTAATCACTTCTGACAAACTTATTTCTTTGTGCTAAACCGATACACCCTTTTGCTTTTCAAACCGTCTGCTGCATTTGTAAGTTAATATTTTATCCTTTTTTCCAATTTAACCAAGGTTCAATTAAAAATGCGTACAGGGCATTGGGACCCTAGGAAAATGGCCTTTAATTAATAGAGCAGAGAAAGTTTCGTGGCAAAAACTGATATTTGTTTTTGCCATTTAACTTATGTATTGTTAATTCTGCTATTATGAGTCAATAAGTAAGGATTCACAAAAACCTAACATGATTTAAACAAGGTAATAATAAATCCGTTATCAGCAGAATGCTCTCTTACATGAAATCAGTTTTAATAAATAAAATTAAATAGAGGCCAACTATGCCTGGACATATCTCAGAAGACATGAGTAGTTATAGGGTAAAAATTTACGTTTCTTACAACATTTTCTACTAGCAAGCGTGCAAAACAGGCTCCATTAAAATTGCAACTTTTAAATGTTTTAGATCGCAAACAAAAACAGTTTTTTGGACATCTTTTTTGCTAAATTATCCAAAAGTATCGCGAAAGTGGTTCCAACACTGAAACAGATTTTTGTGGATCACAAATAGCTCTTCGTACAAAATTTTATTTCCCTGAATAAATTGTCTCATGACTTTGTCAATAAAAATGCGCCTTTGATGTTCCCTTTAACGCCTGCTGTCACGAAATATTTGTGATATGAGAAGAATTTATTCAAAATATGAGCTAAAAGTTGTGGGGTGAAAATGACTGATTCGCATTTAAGTGTAGACAAATGAAGAATAAACGGAAGATGTTGGACTGCTTCAATTTTTGACAAATAAAATTAGAATTGAATATTGAGTGTGGTACATATGGGTGTGTCTGTCTTCCAGATAACCTAGATTACTTACTTAAAAATAAAGTGTTGACTTAATTCACTGAAAGCACTTAGATAACACAAATAATAATTGATTACATTTGGCTTATATGCTTAGGGAAATTTATTCAATTTGTGGTAAATTGAAGTGGTTTGGAGCAACTATACATTTTTTAAATGTCAGGAGCCATTATAAACTAACAAAGCACTTAAAATGCCATTAACTTCCACAACCACGTTAATATATGATAACTAGGATACAAAAAGGTTTAAAAATTTAATTTCATTAAATTAAAAGTCATAATAAGTGGTAAACTTTGAGTTTACCTCTAAGGCAGGAGTACAAACCTTCTAGACTGTATAACCTTATAAGCAAAATGAAGAACGAAATATAAACGATATATCGGTCAATGCCTAGCAACATATAATGCCCAACTATCCCAAAGTACATATGTACAAATTTTCGAAATTAAACCGAGAAGGTAAAAGAGGCCATTTCAAAATTACCGACACTTTGCTATCACTTTAGAATGCGGAAAGTGTGAGAAATTAGTTTTGATGGGAAATTTGATTTCAAAGCAATTGGATTAAATCTGGATTTCGTAAATATTTAGCAAATCTTTAATTCCAACTCGAATGATTTCTCATTTTATTTTGCTTTTCGAGAAAAGCAACTTCGGGATCAATAGCTCGTTCCTGCAAAAGCCTTCTTAAAATGAATGGATAGAATGCGTTTCAAAATTTTAGGCAGTTTAACAAGTCCTTCTAAACAAAGAAATATGATATAACCAATTCGTTTGTATTTTCAATTGATAATTTTATTGATATATTTACATTTAATATAAAAATGAACTAATTCTAAGACTTCAGTCTAAAGGAAAAAAGCGTAAATAAAACGTGGAGGATGAAATTTCAGTAAAAATGTTTTTGCTCCAGTCTTGCTTATGTTAAATTCATTTGTCTACTTTTACTGATAATGAAATTTCCCGAAAATGTTCCATTTTGCGGAGCAAAAACATTTCCAGAAAAAAGAGAAGTCAATAAAGATGAGCTCGAAAATTACAATTATTATTTTTCACATATACAAAACCCACAATAATATCACTATTTTTCAACTTGCGTAAGCCCATTAGATTCGCACAGTGAAAGAATAATCGATTAATTTAATACAACATAGCATAAGTCATTTGCACACTCGAAAAGCAAAATGATTTCAATTCAAGTGTTTTAAATTCATTAAAAGGTAAAATAGAAGTGAAAGAGAACAAGAATTTCAACCGGTTCTCAGCGAAAAAGTGACTAAAATTACGATAGAAAAATTGATAGAATGAGCGCAATATCGGCGACTTGAAACTTTCAAATTTAGGCTAAATTAATATGCACGCATTCTCATTTGCTAATATTTGCAGCGCCTGATTTGATTGATCTAATTAACTCCTCAACATATCCATGTGAATCTCCATCATATTGCATTAATAACTGCCATTTATTCATCAGTGATGATAATATAAATTATAACTAAAACCAATCAAAATGAGAATTTTGTATTAAAAAATTTGTGTTGTAATTTCGCTTTCTTCAGCACCTTACAAGGCCAACAAAGGTATTGATTTCATCTTGATACGAAACTACCATATCTAAAAACCTCAAAAATTTCAATAATCGAGTTACGCAAAAAAAATTGTCTGTAACGTTTTATATATGCATTATCTTTCGTGTTAATAGTATGGCTATCTCCAGGGCATTTATCGCTCTAGTGGCACATGTTCCATTAAGAATGAAGTGTTTCTCTGAATTTAATTTAAAGTTACTTTTCGAATAACTTAACTTTGGTCGTAAACATGTCTAGACTATCATCAATATCATAAAATTACCATTGGTAGAGCACGCGTGTTTAAAGCTCGATAACTATCCCACTGTTTCATTATAAATGTTAGGAAAAAAACATTCTTTAGAGAATATTAGAAAATGATCCGAGAGCAATATTTGAACTATGGAGAAAGACTGCTGTCTACTTAAGCGTGATTTGAGTCCATGGGAAATAGAGGCATTTCAACTAGAACTGAATCAAAAGTACACTGAAAAACCTTCACCTAATTCTCTGCTGGTTGATAAATTGCTAGAATAATGTACAATTGGTCTAAACCCATTTGCGAATTGTAGAGTTATAATGACTTTGAAAGAATTCTCACCACTGGAAAATGCACCGCCTAACTGAGGATTGACAGCAGAAGTTGTAGCAGATTGAGGCATATTTGGCATTCCACCCATTACAGCAGCTAAATTCATTGCAGCGGTCGCTGCGTTTGGCGTGGTCGCATTCACTGGAGTGGCAGAATTCGCAGTAGCACCTAGAAGTAGTGGATTCGCAGCTGCAGCAGCTACGGAAGCAGGATTTGATGCCGTCGGAGCGCTAAATCGAAGTCCTGCAGCACTCAGTAATTGGGCAGCAGGATTTTGCGTCAATGCAGCAAGTGCTGTCTGACTGCTGAGCATTGAGAGGTACTGCTGCTGAAGAAGGTATTGGTGCTGTTGCTGTTGAGTCAGCTGCTGTACTTGTGCCTGTTGACGCTCCTTGTCTAAAATGTGGCATTTCAAATAACTGTCAAATCAATTGGCAAAAGGGTTAGTTAAAAAAGGGGGTTAGGAAGGAATTTATTCATGCAAGGTAAAAATGCACAAGTAAGCGATGTAATAAAGGAAATTTGCCACTATAAATAAGATAGGAAGCAGTGCGGAAGAATACCTGATCTATTTTGTTTGAAAGATTAAATGCGTGAATAAAACATATCTTGGTTCAAATGTGTAAGTGTCAAGTGACGATTCCTAGAGATAAAGAAGTTCAACACAACTGCCTTTTGACAAAAGAAGTCGACACCTTTTCCTTGCACTCTATTGTTCGGTTATCAGAACTCGTGCCTTGCTGCTCGATGGTAAGTTATAATACCCTCTTAACTACCTACATACGTATAAACGCAAGCTCCTGGCGCCAATTAGACGTTCAGGCAGAAACCAGACAAGAAAAGGCTGGCATTATATGATGCTAAAGAATAGTTAACGAATACTCTCATTAACAGTCAGAAACAGCTATTCTTTCAAGGCACATAGTTAGTAAATTTTGTCGACATGGTTTTATAAGGACGTTCTAGTGCTAGTACAATCCGTACCTATTTATGCAACAAGTCACATTTGAAAGTTCGCTGTATCCCTAGTGGAAATAGACTACATGCAATGGCATAGTTTCGCGTGACCAGAACGATGATTAATGTTTTGTGTTTCAAAGAACCTATTCAGTTCGATGTTTTGTTATTTTAAATCGTTTATTTTAATATGAATGTTTTATGGTAAAACACTTTGATAAAAAGAAGGCTAGTAAGAAATCTGGCTTCGATATTAAAATATAGCAGGAACAATGCTATATTTCTTTTAATATGCACACACAAAACGATGGAGAAAGCCTTTGAAAAATTCAGTTCTTTACTTTGAAATAATGCAAAAATTAAACCAGTTCTTAGGAGTAGTTGAGCATAAAATCCACCAAAACGGTGAAGTAAAATTTTAAAGAGTGAATTCAGTTTAGAAAAAATTGAGAGCGAGAGTATGGTTGATCAGTTTAAAAACCAAAGCGGTGTTTTCGAAGCCATAGCATTTTAGCTTCTTTGCAGTGGAGGTAAATGTGCGTGTATACATGCAGAGGTATAAATAGAGAAATCATTAAAAAGCTCGCCTTTTCCAGAAAGGAATTGTATTTACCAGAATTCAAACAAAGCATTATTCATGACGTAGGGGGAGGGGGGAGGCAGGCAGAACGTAAACGGATAGCGCTCTTTGCAAAGAAAAATGAAAATATACCGTGCGGTTTAAAATTATTTCATTTCTTCATTTTTTAACTAAAGTTGGAAGCAGAAGAAGGAAAAAAGAACTAAAGGTCAACGTTGAGACTAAATATAGCCGCAAGGAGATAACTTTATTTTTTTTAAAACACAATTTTATTGCAGATGCTTAGAATGTTTAGGAATTTATATATATCAGACGTTATTGGCAATATTCTCGACTTCATGTAATGAAATACATTAAGGAAATCGTCAGGATTTTGTTAAAAATACACAGCTGAAACAGAGTTACTTTAACATGGAATTGATCAAGTTGAGCAAAATGAAATGTCTTATGGAATTCTAAAGCTCAGGTTCCGTTCTGAATATATGCTCTATTAATTTTAGCATTTACGTACTCTCTGAGAAAAGTACTCCTATGAGGATAATGCTCTATTAATATTTCTTTAAAGCTAAGAAAGGAATAATGTATCTTTAAGGCTTTTAAAATTAAAAAAATTGGCAAATGTACAAAGCGGTCTAATATCTTCTTGGCAATCAATTTATTTGCAAGAAATGGGTTAATTTAAAATAACTTTTTCCCAATTACTTAAATTTAAGTCACTTGTTATGTTACATTTGTGTCATTTAGTGGCGCACTGTGACTTCTATGAAGAACAGAAGAGACCTAAGAAAAATATTAAAGTCTTCAATATTTTCTCCTATTATGGAAGTGTTTATTGACATAGTGGATGCCCTGGTTGATCTCAAAAGACATAATGAAGTATTTACCTTGTACTTTGTTGCACTCATAGAACTAAATATCACATTCCCAAACTATCAAAGACATCATGTTGCTATCCACTCTATTCAAACAAGGTGTATCTGTTGACTTGTACGATCAACTCTAGAGGTACGTTTGTCATCTCTTTACCGCATTGAAGTTGTCAAGGAGAGAACAATCATCTTTCTTCTGGTATGGTTTCTGAAGAAACCTTAATCGGCAGGACACAATCATGGGGCATTCCATTCGCCTTCAAGTTCAAATGTTTTCGACAGTGTAATCGAAATATCTCCAATTAATTTAAGACTTTCAATTATTGTGAGCAAAAACAATAACGAACTGTTATTAGCTAATTGCAGAAGCATTAATAAGTGCTTTCTTTCCCTACTTTTAAGAAAATGTGATTGGTCCAACAACACTGCAATATTTATATTTTTAAAAATTCAAAAAGGAGATAATGATCTGGATTTATCTTTACGCAGTTGGATCGCACTTTAATTGGCTAATTAAACATTCAACAATTTTAATAGTTTCGAGTATTCGCAGATTTAGGAAAATCGGATGGTGATCTGAAATGTGACCTATATCACACATTTCTGACACAGAAAGTGACCACAGGGAAATATGAAGCCTAGGGCGTTATTTCCTTAGTATATTAATGCTTATTGTTTTATGAATGGCAGAGCACAAAGGCAAGACAACAGCAAGGAAAGGCATGCGCGTGGGGTTTCGGGAGCAACCATGCAGGAATATCCCCATTATCCGGAACCATTAAGTTGATTTTATTCAAGGCGGCAAACTAAGGTGCTAATAAATCACAAGAGAGATGCAACACAACAGCGAATATGTCTACTTGTTGAGCATAGAACTCACTATCCTGTTCGTCAAAAGTCAGACTCGGCGACAAAGGCGATGGAGAACTGTGTTGTGAGGAGGAGTTATTGTTGTGATAACGAGCATTTTGCTGTTGGGGTTCCCTATATGTGCCATTCATAATGGCAAGTTCCATCAATTGTTGTTTCTTAACGTCGTCTGCGCCCTCAGGCTGAATGTAAAATAAACGCAAAATGATAAAGTAATGGAGCCTCACGTAAGGCTATAAGAAGTCTTTTAAAATTTGCTGTGCAGCTTCCATCAGCAAGGTCACAAATCGAGCCAAAATAGGAATGAAAAATAAAACGGAAATTTTTTGCTCATTTTAATGCTCCACTTCCTGGCTATTACTCGCCACATCCAGCCAATTGAAATAGCCTCGTGGATAATGCGAAAATGTGGAAAAGGAGTCATGATTCATTTATTTATTTTCAAAACTTCAAAAAAAACAAAGATAAAAATACTCAAATTAAATTTACACATATAAAATCAAAATAGATTTTTACTGATTGAGTGTTAAGGCATATGAGTAAAGTAAATGAATGCAAATTGGAAATAGAATCACCAGTTGTGTTGCCATCAGCACCCGTGCTTTATTGCAGAGAAAGTTTAAATTTGAAGAAGATGCAACAGATCATTAGGAAATTTTCTCTTCTTTACTTTCACGGCTGAAATGTACTCTTATTGGACTACTTTCAAATTGCACTTTGTGCACTGTTTCGTTGAAAAATACGCACAATGATATTGTATGGCTTTCAATATATCAGCACAAACAACGCTCGTGATTTATAATAAAGTATTAAATTAATTACTATAACTGAAGACAAAATTCCCTGAGTTGAGTGGAATAACAACAAAAGGAAAAAACGTTCTATTGTGCATACCCTGATCAGATTCAACCATGGTCAATATCCAACGGATGTCATAGGCACAAATCTGACAATGTGTCAACTTCAGGAATGCCATTTTATTTAAATTCGAGAAAAAGAGAGTCTAAAATCCTCTAAGAAGATACGAAAACAGAAACACCAGATTTCTTTTTTTGCGGTATAAAACACGGAATTGACGCAAAGTCAGCAAGATAAAGAAATATTGGTGCAACAATGGTGTTAAATATGGTGCTGATCTTGGAAAAGAAGGTTGGTTAAAAAAGCTCACATCAAAAGTGTTAGATGGGGAAAAAAGCACATCAATCCATTTAAACTACCATTTAAAACCGCGAGTTCCATTAGCTGAGTTTGCTTCAGCAAGTCCTTATCTTCAGGCTGAAAGAAAGATACAAAGATAACAGTTCGAGCCTTCAGGGCAAATTGTTGAAGTTGATACTGCATGAGATTGGTGAGCAGTGTTAGCTTCAAGGGAAGATGAGCTTAATGTGCAGGTAAATGTTCGATTTATCTACTCAAAAGATGAAATCAAGTGTCCTTGGTTTCTTACTCAAGATATTGGGAATGATTATTCCACATCCATTCAAATACTAAATTCAAGCAATTTCTCGAAATGACACGAAATTGTTCATTAATGACGCATGAATAGACCAATTACAATGAAGAAAAGTAACCTTAATTTCATGTCTTCTTTTAAATTTCCAAGGTGTAGTCTCAGTAACAGCATACCTCTAAAACCTAGATCCAGGTGTTAAAAGGAATATAGGGAAAAGCCACCTGACCAATATGCTAACTGGGTATGTAGTGTGGATTGCTATAAGGCATATGTACCCATTCCTTTCTCATGTTGCACAGATTACTTGACGGTATCCCAAAGCATTCTATTGGGAATTCAATTTCCGCTTGAAGTAAATCATCACATTTTGTTCTAAGAGCGACTAAAAAGGCATCCACAATGCAAGTAACCCCCCCCCCCTTCTCCCACCCTCCTTATCACTGATTGTCATTTTTTTATATCAATGTGCTTTGCAAATGGATGTTTCATAATAATCGAAGGCATTGGCTAATGAAGACATTTTAGTCCATTCCATGTCTGAAGTTCTTCGCAAAATCGTAGATTGTTGAGATGGTTGAAGATTGCAATCTTAAATAGAAAAATCACTTAAATCCCATGCTGTCTATTATTCTCGCGTTTAGCTAATCCTCCAGACTGACAACACTTTGAAATGCGAATGGTAGAATAATCACAAGGGACGATATTTGGCACATGATGCATGCATTTTACTCTAATGGACATCTTCAATAATGTCTTAATTACTTTCTCACCAAGGTAACTAATTCATATGAACATCTGGTGAAGCGGTAGACGATTCTGCAGAATGCCGCTAGAAACATTTTGTGAAAGGGGGTACTCCAATCGGACAATGAACCAGTGTGAGTACCTGCAGTGAAGGGTGCCACCAAATACTCACCCCTCAATTTAGACCGTGTCGGTGCACATGTAGCCAATGCCAGTTTCAACAAGACGACGCACAGAATACCGTGAGTGCAGGACGTGCTTTAACAAGCGTCACTCACTTCTATTCAAGTGACCTCCACCAAACATGTGCATTCAAGCCCGCGTTACTGTGGCAATACTACTCCGCCCTCCAGCGATATTTGCGTCTAAGGCCGCGGTTCACTACTCTCTTTTGCAGATTGTACATTTGTATCTCTCTCTCTCTCTCTCTCTTGCAACTTTAAGATACCAACTTTATTATTTTCACTGTGGCACAACATGAGAAAAAAACGGAGGCACAACGGTGCACACGTGCAAAATGTCACCTCTTTTTTATCATCTAGTTACAGCCTATTTCAGCAAATATTTAAAAAGATAAATATGAGTATCTCTTTTTCAATTCGTACTTTTTTCGTGCCCAAAAACAAACATTTTGCACTCATAAAAAGGTGGGACATCACTCTCTGCATAAAATTTTTTGCGTGGGGACGAATAGAAGCCGCAAATATCACATTTTTCACTCTAAATTTATAATGCTAGTCTACAGTTTGTCACGTTTGACATTAACTTCGGAAAGTCAGAGATCAACTAGTTAGGA